TGTACATATATATATACATATATATATGTATGTATGTATGTGTGTATATATTTATGTATGTATGTATGTATATATATATATATGTGTGTGTGTGTGTGTGTGTGTCAGTGACTGTGTCTGCGTCTGTGTCTGTGAAATGTAGTTACATGCTCTAACATTGTCATTTGACCACAGGGAGATGAGCCTGCCGCTGCCGGCGAAGAAGAAGACCAGGACGAGGGTGGGGTGACTGCATGTGTGTGCGGCTTTGAACACGACGATGAGCATATGATCGCGTGTGATCGATGTAACAATTGGCAGCACACCGTGTGCATGGGGCTTAAACCTAGCACGGTGCCCTCCATCCATTACTGTGTGAACTGTGAACCAAGACCCGTGGATGTGGGCAGGGCCAAGGCGATACAAAGCAAGAAGGCCGAGGAACTCAAGCTGGTCGAAGAGAGCAAGAAGCGTAAGCGCGAGAAGAAAATCCAGGAGAGGATTCAGAAAGACCAGCGGAGGGAAGCGAAACGGTTGCAGAAAGAGCGGGAAAAGGCCGAGGCTGGGGACAATGGCAGCGACTTTGAAGACGGCAATATAGACTCAGACGACTTACAAGGGGGGGTGGCTGGCAATGATGCCATGTCTGAGCGCACGCGCCTGTTGTACGAGAGTGAGTACACCCAAACACGCGGCTGTGTATTGATGCCCAAGGAGCTCGAGGACGATCTGAGCGATTGGACTGCGGACGGTCGGCTGAAGGGGCCGCAGGGCCACGGCGGAGACTATATGAGTGCGGGTGAGAGCGATGACATCTCGCAGAGTGACAGTACAAGTAGCGAGGGCAATGGTAGAAGGATAGAGGGTGACCGTGGGCCCAGGAATAGGGTGGCTAGCAATGTCATGAGTCAGGGGGGTGGCGTGGTCAAGCGACTAAGCGCGTGTGTGCGAAGGTATGTGAGGAAGACAGGTAGGTACACGGACGACCGGGCTAAAGACCGTGGAAAGCGTGACGGTGATATAAGTTCTCAGAAGGGTGGCACAGCACGCACACCTGACGAAAGCCAGGGGCAGGCGGGTAGTGGTAGTGGTGGGAGCATGGCACTCGCAGCGTCTGTGCACAACCAGCCGGTGATGCATGTGCACACCATCCCAAAGACAGCCAATGTGTGTGAGCGTCCTGTGGAGAAGTCCTTCCAACGGGGCCTGTTCCTGAGCACGCAGTGCAGCCGTGTGTGGAGTGCAGGGGAGGACATCCACGAGTACAGCGGCCAGCTGTGTGCCAGCAGCGCGTTTGTGCGCGAGTGGGAGAAGGAGGAGGCCTTCGACATCACCAAGCGCATGTGTCCGCACGTTGTCTTCCTCAAGGGAGGGGTGTGTGTCAATGCACGCTACTATGCGAATCTCACGCGTTGTGTGCGGCGCTCGTGTCGAGCGAATGCGGAGGTGGTGGTGTGTCGCGTGGAGGATGATGCGCACAAGGCCGTTGTTGGGGATCTCATACGGCCTGAGAGTGTTACAGAACGGCACAGAATCAGCATTACGCTCAAGGACACTCGCGCCTCTGGCGAACTTACAGTGGTCCATGTGGGCGCTCGCAGTGGTGCACAGTCACTCGGTGTCTCTGCTGATAGGGCCAAGCAAGGGACAAAGGAGCGCGACGGGCACGTGGTGGGGGATACGAGAAAGTATGGGGGTGGTGTGAGTAACAAGGTGGAGGCACAGACTGCAGACAGGGATAGTGGGGGCAACGGCACGGACGGTACGCATACAGGGTCGGAGAGTGGTAGAGATACTGGGCTTGGCAATGAGCACGGGAGTACAGTAGCCAACAATGGTTCGGGTGTGCTTGCGGTAAGCGATAAGGATGGTGCGGGGCCTGAACCTGAGGCAGGGATAGAGGGCCGGGATCGATGGAACGCACCACGCGTGGAAGTAATTCCTAGTACGCGTACAAATACAGACACAGATATGAGCACATGCACTGACGCAGACAACCCTGTGAATGCGACCATGAACACGCTTACGAATGCACATGCAGTGCTGAGAACAAATGCGGATAGGACAGCCAATAGTCCTGTTAACGTGGCATGCAAAGAAGAAGGAACAATGGAACCTGGGCTGGTGCAGAGCGGTTTGCGTGTAATTGTGCGAGCGGTTGCGACGATAAAGCCAGGTGACGAGATCACCATTCCATTTGACTACAACTACGATGTCCCCGCGTATGTGTGCACGTGCGCGTGTGGGGCAGAGGATTGTGTGGTTCTCGACAGCCACAGGCTCAAGGACCTGAGACGGCGCGTGAGTCTCAATACATCCAGTCACGCACACAGAATCAACAGTAACAATAGCTACAACAACCCACACAGTGGGGATGGGCTCACGCCCCAGCACTCGGACTCAGGAGTCAACAGCACGTACACATCCATGCCATACGCGTACATCAACTCCCCCAGCGCACATATTCAGGCACACGTACGTATGCACAGAGCCAGCGATCCATACGCACACGCACGACACCGTGACAGCATGTACAGCCACGATGCTGCGCTAATGCGACACGACAGCGCGCACACACACGCACACGCACATGAGCACAGTCGAAACGACGACGATATGCACGCATCTTCGGGTACACCCCGAGGCTCGGTGGCCGATATACTCGGCCCGCCTAGAGGACGGAGGCTGAATATGGAGGAGAAGAAGCTGCTAGCCATCCTGCAGACGATCAAGCGCATGGAGAGGCAACAGCAGCTACAGAAGATCAACAGAGACAAAAGAGAGAAGGAAGTGCGGCACTTGACTACCAGCGCTCCTGGGTCTGTGGTGACCACTCCGAAGGTCCAGTCGCCAAGTGCGTCCAGGGCGGACCTGTCCTCTGCGCCAGCACCGAGTGTTGGTATGTGGCACGTATCTGTTTATAGGATTTTGTTGGTAGGTACGGTTTTGAGTTCATGTAGAAGCTTGTGTATTAATGTTTTCCGTGTGGAGATAGTGCTGAATTGGCTTATCGGACTAACGTACGGCGTGTGTATGCTAGTGCTTAAGGTGGTTTGTGTGTTCGGCATTACAGTCATTTTGTTCTCCATCCTCGTAGCATTAGGTTCTTGTCCCTCTTCTGAGCTAATCGATTAAGCTAGTTTGTGAGTGGTTTGCGAATGTGTGTGCTGTGTTTGTAAAGCCCTACTGGAGTAAAGTAAAACCAGGTTAATGGGCTATGTGTATGAACTGTGGCTTTGATGTCGGTGCATTTTGTGAGCAACTGGGGATACATAATTCTACTTTGTACTGTTGAGTTGCTTCTATAAACTTTGAGATGGAAGGATGGTAATACTGATGTAGATGCAGGGTTTCTGTGCTGTCCGCGACATGTAGATAAGCCTCGAAGATTGATCTGATTTTTCTCACAGTATCTTTTACCTCTTGTATACGACACCTGGAATATTTACGCTTGTCTTTACCTACACTTTGTTTCTCAGCTGATTATATCGTACTTATGTCACGTTTTTCATTTAATCCATATCGTACTCGGAAGGTTTGCCCTTGCACATCTATAGGGTTTTTGACCTTGCTCATCAATAAGGTTTTCTACCTTGCACACTTATCGGGTTTTATCCATGCACATCCATAGGGTTTCGTCCATCACACCTCTGTCGACATTGGTTGGCCCCCTAAATCAATAGGATCACAGTCGGCACTCTGACCCACAAATCGCACCCAAAGTCGCTTGATCGCAGTTAGTAATTCCACTCACTCATTGCAACTACTTTTGTTGACAGTCGTGCCCAAAATCACCCGAATCACTGTGGGCAAGAAAGGCTGGATGCGTGAAATCCGGAAGAGCTCTGGCAATACGAGCTCTTCTCCAGTGAAGAATAGGTCATCTACCAATGCTGAAAATGTAAGCATTAGCACGGCTCCAATGGACACCGATGAAGTCTCAGACACGCATCGAAAGTCATCCGCAACCACGGCGGCAACCACAAGTACACTAGCCAATACAAACACAAGCATGAATGCAGGCACACACCCGAGGGCAACTGCCGATACAACAACCACAAAGCCCGGTTCAACAAAGGGCGCTCAAATAGGTGCAGCTGCGGAGACAACTATCTCTGCAAATAAGCGCGTGGGTAGAAAGGGGTCGCCGGGGCTTGTGGTGAGTTTCCGTGAGACGCTCCACAGAGGCCCTGCCAACCGAGAAGTGAGCAACAAAGAGAGTGCGAAGGACATACTTTTGTCGGATACAAACAAGATAGATACCGGTAAAGAACGGGAGATTGTGGGTAGTAGCACATGGCTGAGCGTGTCTAGCATAGCTGTTGACGAGGGTTTAAGCCAGGAGAAGTTGGTTGCTGGAACCACTGCACCGCACGACTCAACGATATGTAATGATGAACAAGAAGCGGGTGACAGTCGTCCGGGCAGTGGGCAGAATAGCACAGACAAAGAAAGGGGGCAAATTGAGCCTGTGAAAGTACAGACGAGCGTAACTGCGGACGACAAGACTCGTGCAGGTAACGAGGAAGACGGTAGTAGCAGGCCAAGCTCGAGACGCGAGGAAAGACATGTAGTAACAGTGGAGAGTGGTGGAAATGACGAGAAGATGCTGGCAGTGGGTCATGGTGGGCAAATAGGCAAGAGCGAGGCATACAACAGCGCCAAAGACCCCAGTAAGGAATTACATATACCCGTGGTTGCTGTGTTGGCGGATACTGTGAAGGACTCGCCCAAGATGAAACGTAGGCGAGACGACCGTGAGAACTCCCATTCACACTCACGATCGCCCACGACACGTACGGCAGAGACCGGTGTCAGCACAAATCATAGTACAATTACAAGTCATAGTACTAGTTCAATGCACAAGAAACTCAAGTCAAGCTCAGGTAGTAGGGAATCAAATTCGGCACATAGGGATACTGGGAGCTCGGGTAAATTAGATGGTGACCAAAAGAAAACATTGGACGAGGGAAGAAGTTCGGAACCAAGCAAGGAAAACGGCCGCGGCCGCAGCAGCAGCAAAAGCCCCGCAAGGGAGGGCTCTGGGAGTAGGGATAAACAGGGAGCTATAAATAGAAACTCGGGTAGTGAAGAAGCAAGACCCGGTACTGGTCCGAGTTGTACGAATAAGACTAGCAACGCAAATAAGACCTCTACGTATGTAATTACTACTGACATGGGAGGTCAGACAAATATCTCCACACACTCCTTAGCAACGCCTGTGAGCGACAATAGGACGCCAGATCAGATCAGTCTCACTCTGGCCCAAGGAACGTCGGTTGGCATCGGAGACTTGGAGAGACAGTCAAAGATACCCGATAGACTCACAGAAAGCCGCCGAGACATGCACGCACTCGGAAGTTCGGTATCACCTGAAGGTACCAAACGCAAGGCAGCACCAGCTGACCTGGACCAGACTGCGTCAGATACCAACAAAAGATCCCGCAGTCGGTATGGTACCGAGCGCCAAAGTAGCACAGAGATGAGTGCGGATGCGAATGCAGGTGATGCTGCAACTACAAGCGATGGGTCCAAAAACAAATCAGCCAATTCCTCTAATTTTGAGAATACAGGTTTTCAGAGCGATCGTCGGAAGGGCAAGAATGTCCAGCTATCAGAAAGCCCTGAAAAGTCCGCAAAGCAAACGAGTGTTGATGAGAAGACTGATATTGGGAGAGACAAAGACGAGACATTGCGGAAAATATTGTGTGAGAGTGGTGATGCGAGTACGAAGGGTGCACCGGGCTCAGGAGCTGACAGCACGAGCACAGACGCTGTGCAGATGGAGTCAGTGCACAAGGATTTAGGCTCAGACACGGCGTTGGGGAGAGCGACTACTCAGACAGCAGAGAATAACAACGCGAGTATACAGGTAGGTACCAAATCTAGTGAGCGTACGGTCCAGGCTCAAGGTGAGGTAGCTGTGGCAAACGGTCAAACGTCTGAAAGTCGTGCCGGCGATAGTAAGAGAGTCAGTGCGGCGGAGAATCCAGGCAGGGCGGATACTGATAGAAGTAGTGCAGCGGAGTCTAAACCAGCCACAACTGGTGACCTGAGTGACATGGTTGGTCAAGTGCTAGAACCGGCGACCACAGATGGGAAAACGATCCAGAACACTAATACTACCGATACGAGTACTAAAATTAGCACGAGTAAGAGTACGGTGGCCGATAAAAAAATCACTCCGAATTCGGTGACGAATGTGGCGCCAGATGCGAAGACAGAGTCAGAGTCAGAGACAGAGATGCATGCACACGCGAATGCGTCTGAGATTTGTGGTACTAGTGCACTTGCGGGTAGAAGTGCTGATGCTGCAGTAAATAAACACACCTACACCAAACCAAGTGATGGTGGAGATGAGGTGCCTCGGAAACCAACGGTCATATCCAGCAACACCGATCGTAGCGGTGGCGGTACTGGTGCGGGCGTGAGACTTGGAAACAGCAGCGGCCTAGAGATCAAGCGGAGTTTGGAGTGCTCGTCGGGGAAAGGCGTCGGTAAGCCCCGCAGAAGTATTAGTGCACCTAGCAGAGGGAGTGCTAGACAGAACAGCATGTATCGCAGTGGCAGTGTGAGCAGGGAGTCTGCGTCGGCGTACTCGCCGAAAGCGGCCCGGACAGATAGCGTGAGCAAAGCCCATCCCGTGATTAAGTCAAAGATGATCTCAACCACCACGATTGGCCTGGGATCTAGTAGTCAGCAGACGAAACCCAGTGACCGGATGAGCGCAGTCGTGGGCACTGAAAAGAGGAGCAGCAAGCTAGACACCGAACAATCAGACACCATCGGTGGGGCACGAGCTGGCGGTGATAAACCCCGTTTAAGCGAGAGATCCTCCTCGGGTGCCTACAGTGCGAGTGCGAAGAACAAGGTATTACGGACCAGCTCGGGTATGGTGTACAAGTCCTTCACCGACCGCGAGAGAGAACGCAGCAAGCTTGCAAGGTCGGATAGCCTTCCCAAAGCAAGATCAGGATCCGCATCCGTGCCATCGAGAAGTAGCGTTGCAAGTAGGCTCAGTTCCAGAACTAACTCGCAGTCCCGCAGAATGTTGGTAGGTAAGACTTTGGACGCCCCCGGGAGTGATCTGAGAGCGATATTGCTGGCACGGAAGCACACTCAGGAGTACTCTAAGCCGAAGCTTACACATTCGTTGTCGAGCACAAGCACTGGGACACCCGAGCGATCAAAGATGAGTAGCCGATACATCGGTAGGGATAGTACTGGCAGAGATAGCAGCGGTAGAGATAGCGGGGGTGCGTCCACTAATGGCTCAGGTAGGGCAAATACTTCGAGGAGCATACGGCGGTTAAGCCCAAGCACAAACGCATCCACATACACAGGCACGGCCTCTACTGTAGGCCCACACATTGCCTCCAAGGCTGACCCAACCCCTGGCACTGCAGAAGGCACATATGCAAGCACGCCGGTGCAACCGGGCGCTTACGGTGCAACTACCAGTCAAGCAACAACAAAAAGTTCGGTACTACCAGGTAAAGGTGCAATGACCGATAGTAGCAGCCGCATCATGCGCAACAGTAGTCTGGACAGGGCTACGAGTCTGCGGGGGCAGGGCAAATCGAGCAGAAGGTCTCGCGCCAATAGTGCTATGGGCCAACCTGGGGGTAGCGTTGCTATGGCAACCACCGTCTCCACCGATCTCGACTCTAATCTTGCTGATGTCAATTCCAGTTCAAAGACCACCTCTAACACATCCCAGATAGTGCAAGCAAGCACCCATACTGTGCCAAGCCCCACCTTGTTGACCAAGGTGGCAAACACATCTACACGTGTCACTGAGGAAAAGGTTCCCGCTTCTGATGCGAGCTCTGAGGCTCTAGCTCGCGATTTACCTACTGTTGTCGAATCTAAAAACACGCCTGCGCCCTCGGCCCCACCAGCAAGTCATCCGCAAGTGAAGAAGAAGCTGACGCTTTCTGAGCTCAGCGCGCGGAATAGGGTGTTAAGGTGTGCTTAATACTGTACTGCTATGATGTACTTATGGTGTCCTGTTAACTTGCGTTTATTATTCCTTGCATGAATGCCCTTACTGTCTCATAATTTGAACATCTTGACACTTTAGGTTGTGCATACAATGTTTATCAAGGCGAGTACATCATGTTTTGTTAAGTTCTGCATTTCATGTTGCGTTCTTATTTGGATAGTGAGGTCTCGTTCGCATTTATTTATTGTAAACGCTTCTCTATAGAGTCAAAACTATACGTGTTTTGTCAATCTAAGGGTGTGCAATAGCAATATACCCGCTTCTATGTTGACATTATCTGCACCTTAGATATTCTACACGCCAGTCGAGGACGTACCGTCACACTGCTCAACTAGTTCTAGCTTTGAGAACAAAGTCTGAAGCCCCGTTTACTTGCTTGATATAACTCCGAATCTGCCTTGCCTGTTGCCGAAAGATTTTCAGACAAAATGGTTTGTATTGACTACAAATGGCGCACCAATACTATCTATATGCCAAACGCTCCTTATTCGACCACATTTGCTCGTTCTATAGGCTTCCAGTATATAGCTGCGTCTGCGATATAGCTGCGTCTGGAGACAGGTGAAGGCTGTTTAATGCATTCATATGAAACATATCGGAGCAGATAGGTCCGTATCCGGAAGAACAAATTGTCTCCTCTTCGTACGATTGAATGATAAGCACAATCAAGACGTCGCGTTGCGTATATAGGCAAATTTGAACCCATTGTGCTGCGATGTTCACCAATTTACAAATCTACACTAATGCAGGGAAAGTCAGGCTGGCAAGGATAAGCAATAAATTGACGGCGAAGTTTAGTAACGCAAAGCCCGGGCGGCTCAAGCAAGAAGCTCACACAGCCCACTGTGGTGGTCAGCATAGTCCACATGGGAATCAAACGTAACTACGATGCGGACAGGGACCGTGTCTCATAATAGGATATAAACTATCAACACTAAAGAAATGGAAGTCTCGTTGCTTTCCATATACGACCTATAGTTGTACAATTCAGTACGGATGTGTTTTATGTAGACCATATGCATGTGCGGATGAAAGCTTAACACTGCGCCCAGTCTACTCAGCAAATACTGTTGAACGATTTCTATGATCCGTCTCGTCTCAGTTGGCAATGACTGCAGCTGTGACAAGTCATCAAAGTTCACTATCTTATGGTCATGACAGATGGCCATGCATCATTTAAATTTACTATATCGTGGTCATGACAGAGCCGGTTCGTCTCAGTTGGCAATGACTGCAGCTGTGACAAGTCATCAAAGTTCACTATCTTATGGTCATGACAGATGGCCATGCATCATTTAAATTTACTATCGTGTGGTCATGGCAGATGGCCATGCATCATTTAAATTTACTATCGAGTGGCATTTTGCAGTTGTGATTGATTGTATAGTCGTCTTAGCTGGCAGTACACTTTAGCTTTGAATGGTTACTTCCCACCCCACACGTGGCACAGAAGTGACCAAACTTGCACCATTCGCGTGCACACCCCTTCAGCTGGTTGTATGCTCTGCACACATTCTTACTGTTCACGTTCCCGCAATGAGCCACAAACCCAAACTGCGCTCGAAGCACAGCCGCTTTCTGATCAGTTGTATCAACCTCCACAGTTCCATGGTGTGTGGGCGTATTCATTGTCGGTGAATCTTTGCTGATACGTGGTTGTGCGTTCGATCTACGAGTGTCAGCTTCCTCCCACTTGTCGCAAATCGCGATAGAACGAGTGATGAAGTAGGCTAACAACGGCCAAGCATCCCCTCTCCGTTTCTCAGCATGCTCATCAGACATAGCTGTATGTTGTGCAAGAGCGTATTGGGCGGGGCTTTGGCCCTTCTTGTTGAGGATATCACATCTGCTGCCGCTGTTGAGCAGTAGTTGTGTCACGTGCGCAGACCCTGAGCAAACCGCCAGATGCAAGGCGGTGTTACCATCAATATTTCTGTGCAGATTAACGTAACAATCGATATTTTGAGTATACACAATGGTTGCAGTGGCCGTCTGTATACAAAAATATATGCTGAGCTGTAACTGTGACACGTGTGCAGTCCTGAGCGGACCACCAAAGTGCAAGGCGGCGTTGCCATAAGCAACTCTGTGCATATCATATATTGTGCGGTAGTGTTGCTAACTCCTTGAATTATTTCTACATGGATAAGTGTATTGTGTGTTGTGATTTGAGATGCTAACTCAGTTATTTATCTCTGTACAGATATAAATGATGTGCGCAAGCGTTGTGCGTGAGCTTTTACAACAACCAAAAAAAGGTAACCGATTGTATGACGTATAGGTCAGTGCCATATGGTGGAATATCGCGGAATAAAAAATCCGATGATTTCGAATGACTTGATACTCAGCGCAGCCCACGCTACTCAAGCAGCTAGCTATGTCAATTAAGCCCAAGTATCTTACATATATGCTTACATGTATAATGGATACACGCCGCATTCTTTTTGAGTGCATTTCTGAACTGAATATGCCTGCATGCGAAATACCTAAAGAGTTTCACCCACCTGCTGTTCAAATTGTAGCCCGCCACATGATCTTCGGGCGTGGTGTGACGATTAAGCATCAGCTGCACTACACTGGCCGACCGCTGCAGCAGAATCGATGCCCGTTGCACCGCCTCACAAGTGCACATGTCCAGGCTTACAGCTGGATGTGTCTCCATGCATGACGTGATATCTGATCTGATATCTCGAGTTGTGTCGGTTAATGTGACACGCACTTGCTTCTCGGCTGGTGGCGTGTGTGGCTGCGTGTCAAGGGATTGCAGCACTGTACCCTCAATAGCAGCTATCGTATGGGGGCGACTGTAAAGCACTCCACCCTCGAGCGATGCTTTACCACTGTTCGCTGCCCACTCTCCGTTATCATGTGAGTGCGTTGTGCTGATCTGCGCCAATTCATCCACCGCCACCAACCCGCACGCGAAGTGCAGTGGGAAACGTCTGGTACTGTCCGTTAAGTGCATTGGTACCTCGTTATGTAGCAGCACTGATACGGCATCGTAGTCGTTGTCGTACACTCCCCGCTGGATGGCCATGTGAAGCGGGCTCAGCCACCGTGTGTTATTGCGCCTGTGGAGGAATGGTTCATGCTGAATTCAATATATATTGCATCTATACAATAACAACACGTATATTAAATTGTGTATATATATAATTATATACATACATATATATATATATATGTATATGTATATATATACGTATCACAATATATATATATATATTGTGTGTGTGTGTGTGTGTGTGTGTGTGTGTGTGTGTTA